ACCTGGTGTTTGCTGCTCTGAACCATTGGCCTCCTGGACTCTTTCCTTCTTTTTTAGTAATTGTGTGTATAGGTTTTTAATTGTATATCTATTTATTGTTATTAATGACTTGTGAGCTGCCCAGAGTCCCCCACTGGGGCAAGATGGGCAGGGATAAATTTGATAAATAAATAAATAAAATCATGTCCACAGACACCTTTTGTGAATCCTATCTACAATAACCTTAATGAAGCATTTATTAAGCAATTATCATCCCAATGTACTGGGATGGCTTTTATTAGAGAACAAAGCCAATTTTAACAAAACAGGGAAAATGAAATATTTAGTGTGATCTAAATATTATCAGCAGATAACAGCAATTCCTGAGCAGGATAGTAAAGATGAAAGCACTACATGGCTCGTGAATTCATATCCTTGGCTTCATGCAGGCTATCATTTAATATATTTGCCAATGAAAATAATTGGCTACTTCTCTCTGTTTAGAGATATTGTGCAGCTGAGAGCAAACCTGAATTTACCTCTGTATCACATTTGAAATGGCTCTTATAACCTACTCAAAAACATTGCAATTTCCAAAACCTGTCCTTTTTGTGTTGCTGCGTCAGGCACTCTAGCCCTGGAAAAGACAATACCAATGAAATATTTTCTTTGCCTCCACAAATTTCTTCTCTTTTACTAGAACCCTCTGTGTTGTGGTAATATGTTTCTCCAGAAAGATCATTAACATGGTAACATAATCCACAGAAAATCCAAAGACAGCAAGACCAAAACAAAAGGAAAAACAGAGTTTGTGGGGAAATGTCTCTACGAATTTTCAAAGGTCATAGCTTTAGTGGATTTGCTTTTTTTCTTTCTCTCTATTTGTCTCCTGGAGTATTTTTTTCCAGCCTTCATGCTGGAAGGCCTGCCAGTAAGGCAGCATCCTGAACCTTTCTGCAAAAAGATTGCTTACCAACAGCAAAGTGATGTTAAGATCTGGAATGGATACCAGGCACGGGACACAGATATTTTCCTTCTTGTAGATAAGAAGAGTCTCCGGTTTATTAATGAATGGCTGTTCAAAATCTGAGAAGGAAAGAAGTGGAGAAAATGCAGAGAGTGGGGGTGAAATGGCAGCAAAAAACAAAGAAAATGTGATGAGTTTCTATAATCTGTTTTGGTTTGTTAGCTAACTGCTATAAGGAGTGATACCAAACTTGGAAAAATGCACAAGCACTTTTATAAATCATGAATCAAACTGTGGAATAAGAGTGTTCAGCTTTTATTCATATGTATATTTGTGTTAAGCTCA